ATGGACAGAGTGCGTGTGGTGAATATTGTGTGTGTGTGTGTGTGTGTGTGTGTGTGTGTGTGTGTGTGTGTGGTGAGTGTTCGTGTATTGTTCTTAGCGTGTTCCCAACATTTGGGAAACGCTGTATCTGTGAGCGTTCACATCTGCGAGGTGGTAAGGCTGAAAGCCCGAGGCAAAAAGAGACTTACCTCAAGGTGGCTGCCCAAAGACCTGAGGGAAAAAGAGGTCGAGGCGAAGGGTCAGCCAGTATTTATAGCCAGGGGTGAGAGACCCCTGTTGAAGGATTGAGAAACTAAAGGAGGAGCTAACTCCGACAAGTGTATATTACGTCTATCGGCCAGCATGTCCAAGGAATCTAAATGTTATGGTAATTTACCCATGCACGCATTGACTCTCCCAAATAGGAGCAGGTACTGCCTTTTGGAGAGAGAAGTTTCCAGCAGTCAGCTCTGACAGTCGTACCGAAGATTCTTGGTCTAACACTCTCGTTTGTATATGTGTGTATAACTGTTTCTGTTAATATATTTGTTTAACTCAGTTCGTCTTTTTGTGTTTTTATTTCTGTCCCTAACGAGGCCATAACACTGAATAAAAAGCCTGCGTCTCCACTTTGCACCTTGAAACTAGCGTTTGATCCGTCATGATTTCCCGCTCATCCAGTAAAGACTTCACATATTTAAAGATAGCACAGCCCCCTTCGCACAGATTATTTTTCTCATGAATCTATATCTGCTCAGTTTCGTATCGGAAACGTAAACTATGGTGGGCACTACTTTTTTAAAATAAACGCCCTCTCTCTCTCTCTCTCTCTCTCTCTCTCTCTCTCTCTTATATTGAGCACACATAAATATAGCATACCTTAAAACTATCATTTTATCACACACACACACACACACACACACATATATATATATATATATCAGACGTGCAAATTGTATTGATAAACACTGAGGTATAATTCTATTTATTGAACAATTTAGTTCATGCCACATTGACCAAAAAACTTCTACAACAAAAAAATTCTCAAATTTAAAAAAAAATTCAACCTTAGCGTTGCGACTGCACGCCCCCAAAATTTTTATCCGTTAACAATAACACATTTCTAAAAAAAAACATATTTCGATTCGCATTTAATTTGTCGTCTCTGATGCTACATGGATTTTACTAAAAACAAAATGCCTGAGGATGACTGAATGTATAGTTGAATGTACTAATAGATTAAAAAAGACCTTATACAGTTTGTAGTTATTAAAAGCAAGCATCATAACATTCATCGAGTGGTTTGTAGGGTAATGCAACATTAAAATTTTGTTTACGAAGAGATTTCGTCATTTTATATCATTATTTTTTTCTAATCTACTTATTGTATGAATGATTCATTATAATATATATATATATATATATATATATATATATTCATGAATTATTCACACAAAAACAAATGCAAAGGTTAATGATTTAATTGGCGAGAAATCCATCGTCGCAAACAATTCAAATAATATACAAACCTCCGAATCCGTTATGAATGAAATGATCTTTGTTTCTATAAATTTCTGCCGTATTAGTTCTTATTTTTACTACAAGCTTTCGTCTGTTCCTACAGACATCTTCAGGTATGGAATAGATGTTGTTCTTGTTTTTTCTCTTAGTAATAAGAGGACAACGAAAATATATGTATTGTTGTATCCGAAAATGCTATTGGAAATGAGTTATTGTTTTTGGAGCGCGCAGTAGCAACCCTGAGTTTGATTTTAAATTTTTTACAGTTGTGCGTTCATGTACAAATATGTTAAAAATTAAGCTAGCCCCAGAGAGGGCTCTTGATTGGGTCTTCGGCTTGTTCAGGAATTTGAGAGCCCCTAAGTCTTTGCATATTACCAGCATTCGAAATTCTCCCGACTGCTTTTTGATTTGGGTTTTCATTTGCACAGGACTTTCTTTGCGTAGCTACAGCCTTGTCTCTTTTGATTGCAATTTGGTCCTCTGTTGGAAGAGATTTCTTTTTGCGAGGCATAACGCTGCCATATGCGATTGGCGAAATAAACAACTCAAAATTGCATTTGTGTATTGCATTAATATTTAAGTTAAATTTTTAAAAGTTCAACGATAATTCTTCTGTCGTCAATTAATTTAAAGACAATTTGATGTACGTAGATATGTGCTTCTGTACAAACAATTATTTTTTATTTCATGGGTGACTTTCACTGGATTTCGCAATTCATTTCGATTATTCCCAAATTTTGTTCCAAGTTATAAAAATTGTTATCGTATAAAAAAAAATACGTCGCAAAAAATCATGTTATAAATCGTCTAAAACGTAATGAAAACTTGGGAATGCAAAATTTCAAGATTACGGGCCCGGATCGATCACGAAATGTTTTTAATTTTCTCATGGAATCGGCCTGATTCCAAAATGGTATGATATCATGAGCTATGGTCTCTAGGAGAAAAGTTGAAAAGGTGTGACGGACTGACATACGCATTTATATATATATAGAGATTTAGTTAAAGACCAACGCCAGGTCATTGTCAAAGATTTGTTGTGTTTATTTACATAACCACTTTCCTGTATTCCAGTGAATGTTTAAATAGTAATTGTCCAATGTTTGAATATACTTGTCTTTCAAAGACTCATATCAAAATGCATTACTTTTTGTTATCTTGCCTTCTTATTTTGTGTACTAGAAATTTTGCCTTTATCCACTGTCCATAAGGACACATGACACAGTGGATAAAGGCGTTGGTTAAATCCAAAGTGAGTTCAATACCTGGTTAAAGCAATGGAGAATTAATTATTAGTTATCACTTATCTCCTGAATTAACAGGAGATAACTTGTAGATGACCGAGTGGGTTGTAATGTTATTTCTGTTGAAAAGTGTTGTTGTTTTAGGGACACGTGTGTTTTTATTTCCTGCTAGAAGTTCCAACTACAAGAACATGGCGGACACAGAGATTGAATCCACCGAATATGAAAAGAAAACAAAGATATATATATATATATATATATATATATATATATATATATATATATATATATATATAAACAAATATATGTATTAACATAATTTTACAATGGACATAGACATTAACATTTATGTGTGTGTAAACATTTGTGTTTGCTCTTTGGTGAATGTTCGTACGTACGTGTATGCGTGTATAATGTTCATGGCGTCTCCCACTAATGGGAAACGCTATCTTTGGCGAGAGCTCACATTGTAGAGGTGTTCGCTGAAATGAAGAAATGAAAACGAGAACGAGGCAAGAAGTCGCCCAGTATTTATAGTATAGAGAGAGCGACCCCTAGTAAACAATTAGAGAATTAAGGAGGACTAACTCCGACAAACTGATAATTGACATCCATTAGATATGACACGTGGAACTAGAACAGTCTACTCCAGCGAGCAAAATAAAGGGTTCAGTTCGACATTCAAGTCACCTGAATAAGGCCGGAGCGTACAACGGCCGAAACGTTGTGATAAATATTATAACAAAGATGAGGACAATAGTCCGAATAATGTAAATAGTGTACATAATACCTCATCTCGGAATATAGACAGATAGAAATTTCAACTATATTTTTCTGATTTTGAATATAACCATCCTTTTTGTTTTCATTTTCCTTAAAACTTCATCGATGCTCACATGTTCCGTCTATGGCATTCTCAATATCTTACTGTAGTTTGAGATTTCTCTTGAGTCGAGTCTTTTTTTCCCTCTATGAGTAGATCGTCCATCATTTACTGGAATATTAGAAGGACCGATATTACATACGATTTCAGACCTTTTTGTTTCTGAAAAATTTCCTGTTTCTTGATACTTTGCTTAGGCTTTTTGAAGGCATCTTTCGCTATTTCAATACTTCTAAATACCTCTCCCCCTTACACATTTATACAACTAGGCCTCTATATACGTAGATTCTCAGAAAAAAAATACACGATGTTAACTAGGTTGGAAATGGTTCTACGTTTATCCAGGATGCTTTCCTCAAAATCAACATTAAGGTACACAAGAACTTTTAAGAGAGAAGAGAATTTATAGCAATGACAAATTCAATAGTATTTTCAGAGACTCAATTGTCGTTTAAGGAAAAAGCAAACCTGGCTTCTTGAATTACTTCTTTTCTATTGGTTAAAAGCGAATAAAGTTCAAGCGTTCAGTAATTCAGCTGACAATATCCCCAGCGTTTAGAGTGATAAATATTCTCTGAAGGTATTACTTGACAAGCAGTTAAGTGTCACTGTTTCGCTGGTGTTAGCATTTTATCACGTGGGGCCACAAAATAACATTTTTAGCTCTGTGGACAAAAAAAAAAATTAATGATTTCAAGACACCTGAAGTCATTTATTGGACATATAAAAGCAACTGTGTAAAGGAGAATAAAAAGTGTGGGAAACATTTTGTTTTTTGGGGTTTTTTTTGCCTTCGCTTTGTTTGAGTATTTGGTTATTTTATTCATAGACCCAATAAAATACGATGACCAAGATTGAATTGACTAAAATTAAAGATGACATTACGCTAAAAACAAATTCCCAGGATCTTAGGATAAAATAACTTCCTTTCATTTGATTTAGACCTTGAGAAAACGGAATTCTTTAAAATAAAAAAGGGTTGCTATTATTAACTCTCACCCTAAAAGATTTAAGAGTCACTCAAAGATTATTTTTATGGAATAAAGTGCAAAGTCGAAGAGGATTTTGAAGGAAGAGAAGAGGGCCATAATTTTTAAATTTAAATTTCAGCGTTTTTTTTTTTTTTGTTCTTTTTAATTCGGCATTCTCTGTGGTCAGCTGAACGATTTCTTGATTAACGAATATGTTTTTTTTTAGTTTTCTTTTATTATTTTTTTGTTTGTTTAATATCAATATCTATCAGTGAATGCTGGACAATCTCCTCACAGATGAAGATTTGTATCTGTTATTTGCTCGTAAGTAAATGTAAAGAACCACAATGGAATAAACAATCCGGAGCCGATATCTGTTAAACCAGCTGTACACCCAAGCTTACAGCATCTGGTATTCCCAAACGGTCTCCCATCTATGTACTGACAAGGCTCGACGTTGCTTAACTTCGATGAACATACGGGAACCTACATTTCAAAGTGATACGGCCGTAAACCAGATGAAGAAAGTGACTTGAAGCAACAGAAATGTGATTCTACAGAGGGATACTGAGGATAACATACACCAAACATGTGAACAACGACGAATTTTTAGAGAAAATTGTTACAGTTTTTTTGTGTATATATCGTGTAACTAGTGAGTTAGTAAAAATGACTTAAATCCCTTTATAGTCCACCAAAAGAAGGTTAACCAATCAGAAGCCGCAGAACATTGTATCCATCGTGTATAAAGGCGGCCATCTTTGTTTAACCTACCGGAATGACCAGTGCCAACTTGTCAGGCGAAGATGACAGAAGGAAAAACTACGCTCTGCTACTTTGCTGCGATATCCACTGCTAACCTGAACAACGCTTTCGAAATATCCGAAATATTCACTGCTAACCTCTGGATTCTCATACTCTAAGACGACCGTCATGAATTTGTAACAAAAATGAACAAAAGGACACTTATATTTAATATCAGGAAGAAACAGCTGAGATGATTAGGGCACATAATGAGGAAAGACGACTTGGAAATTTTGACACATCCAGGGCAGATTGAAGGCAAGAGGGACAGAGGAAAACAACGCCTAACCTACCTAGCGAGCATTAGTAAATGGATCGTGGAACTGGTTTAAGAAAGATAACTGTCATATATGAATAAAGTGTCACTGCCGACACTTGAGATTGAACATAGATCGCCAGTGAGCAAACACATTACTGAATTATGTGGATCTCGTGATCGCAGAGTAAAGGAATATATGAGAGGTAGCGTGTGTCTAATTTATTACCATTTCTAGTCTATCCTCTATTACTATACGAAACGCTATTCTCTATACTGTCCATTATATTATTTTTATATTCTGATTACTATTCAGTGGTTACTTTTTGAGCGAGTATTATCGAGCAAGTACTATTAGTGTGAGTGTTATTCGAAGGCGTCTGACACCAGTATTGTTCAACGGCGTTAATATATTTGTATCTGCGATTACAAAGTCTCTACTACAACAAGCATTACGAAAGTGATAAAGAGTATTCGTTGACATTAGAAAAGTGGCAACGAGTGTTCGTTAACATCACAAAAATAACAAAAAAGAGAAAATTTATTAAGCGCTAAATATGACAGAAAATTGTGGAGAGTCATGATCGTCAACCTCCTAAAGAGATACGTTACATAAAATAAGAATTTAATCTTGATTAATCGAAGTGAAATAATTAAAAAAAAAAATTTAAGTTTCCATTTTTTCCGTGAAACACTTTAGAGAATGTTTCTATTACTTTCGACTGTCGATTTCCTTTTGCTTAAATGGAACTGTCTGAAACGTCTAAAAAGAAGAAAAAAATATGTAAACCAAATTTTATTTCAGTGAACGTATAGTCATATTTCCATTAATATTCAACCTGATGTGTGTGTGTGTGTGTGTGTGTTTGGACATCTGTTTTCGATGTCACCCTCAAACATCTTTAGAAGATAAGGAGATAAATTCCTTCCTTTTAATTCCACTCAGTTGTTGGATTCTCCTAGGAAACCTGTCTCCAGCCCATCTTGATTGAACTTAAGTGTTGGTGTTTTAGGATTTATGTCTCCAGTTCGCCTTTGAACTGGGAAACATAAACATTTTTTAAATGATTTTTGATAGTCATAAAAGTAGTCCTTTGAAGATTTGACCAGCCATTTGGTTTTGGGTGGTCCCTAATCTTCCGGAAAAAAAAGTGGATGGAGAGGGTGGGAGCCCAGAATTATCCATTATAAGCAGAGAGGCAGGAAGTCGAAAAAAGTTGGTCCAGCCGTGAGAGAAGTAGATAGGTGTCTATAGGATTTAGGAGCTGCCCAGCGGCCGATAGTGAGGAATCAGGAGTCGCCGATCCCCGAGGCCAGTGAAATTAAGGAGATAGCTGTTCAGTCGAAGAGAAAGATTGCCGGATAAGTGAGAAATCGTATTGTTGTGAGCTTCTAACCAGCTTCTTTAAAAAAAAAAATATCGTTACTAGTATTATTTGTTGAAAGCGATCGAGTCCAAGGAGACGAACTTGTTCACATAGCGAGTTGGGTGTATATGAAAATACACTTAACCTTGTATGTCATCACAGGTGCAGTGAACGGCGGTCGTCACAAACATCGTCACAATTTTGCTACAAATGGCGTCATAATCTGGTGCCTTTACCAGTATATAGGCCCTGGGGTGCGATGGAAATAAAATGAAATAAAAGTAAACACAACGTTGAAGCGGAAAAGGAAAAAGTGAAGCGTTGACTATAAAAGGAAGGAAGAAGGAAAAACGTAGACATAAGAAAGAAAAGGCCGACTGCTAAAAAGTAAATAACTTAAAGAAAAAAGAAGAAAAAGAAAGAAAAAGACCTAATTTTCGTTGAAGAAAAACGAAAATATAACAACAAAAAAAATCCTGAAAAAGCAGAACTTTGCAACTAAAAGAAAATAGATCGTTGATAAAAAAAAAAAATAAGAGAAAAAAAAGGAGAGTGAATGTAATTTTTTTTTTTTTTTTAGTTTGCATACGTCAAGGAGAGAAAGACAGAAGAAGGGGAAAGCAGACGAATACACCGAATTAAAAAAAAAAAACGATTAACAGAGGTAAAAATGTTCTATTTTTATCTCCACCCCCCTACATCGCTTAAAATCGTACCGGCCATTTTTTATAAACATTTTTTATCTCCTCATATTGGTCACCTCTTTCATTATATTTTATTGTCTTAGTGTTTTTTGGGGGTTTTTTTTTCTGTTAGTAAAGCAATATCTTTTAGTGTCTACGGGATACCAGCCATTGCCCTGAAGAAATGTGCTCCTGAACTGGCTCCTGCCTTCTCCAAATTATATAACTACCACCTCAATGAATCGTGCTTCCCAGCCTGTTGAAAGTCCTCATCTATTGTACCTGTCTTTAAGAACTCTGGAGACTCTTCTGACCCATCTAACTATCGTCTCATCAGCAAAGTCTTTGAGCCTTTAATCAACGCCGAAGTTGTTAATCAACTTATATTCCCTGATCTGCTCTCTGATAAGCAATATGGTTTTCGCTTTGCCAGTTCTACAGCTGATGTGCTCACGGCCATAACTGAAATTGTTTACCGAGCACTCCACAATAACGGAGAAGCTCGTGCCGTGGTTCTAGATATCTCTAAAGCGTTTGATAGGGTCTGTGTTTTTTTTCGCCTGTGTCTCCCCTTCAAATCTACAAATCAACCATTCACCCTTGCATGGAATACTGCTGCCGTATATGGTCTGGTGCCCCTGGTGGTCACCCTAAGGTTCTCGACAAAATCCAGAGATGGATAAGCAAAGTGGTTGGTCCTTATCTGGCATCTCTTCAGTCGCTCTCCCACAGACGTGCCGTCGCCTCCCTCAGTCTTTTCAATAAATACTTTCACGGGAACTGCTCTGACGATCTACCATTGCTAGTTCCCAGACTGCTTGAATTTAAGCGTGCTACTAGGCTGGCATCACGGTTCCACCCTTTCACTGTTGAAAAAGTTAAATGTTGCCGTCTCTTCTACTCCAATAGCCTCATGTCTCGCACCTAGCGTCTGTGGAATTCCCTTCCTATTACTTGTTTCCCTGAGAGCTATAATCTCCAACTATTCAAATGTAATGTCATTCGACATCTCCAGATGCCCTGAACTATCCCCTGTTCTTCTCTTCATACTTTCCTCTATCACTCTTGTTTGCTCTCACTCCAACTCTCTGTAACCCATTGCGTGCTAGTGGCTTCCCGCCTTGCTTGGGGTGGAATGCTTAAAAAAAGCCATAGTAGAGTGGAGAATAGTGGCATTAATAGATAGAAGGGCATCCATTTCAATGATTAGGCTTAGGAATTACTTTCAGCTAGGATTTAAGAAAAGCGTGCTGGTTGTTACAAGGCAGAAAATATCTTAGGCTGACGGAACGGAGATAAAGGTATTTGGATTAGTCCTGTAGAGGTAGGAGGGGCAGTCACGATGCAACAATTATATGTGGCACCCACCCTGAGTAAATCAATGATACTAGGTAGGGACTGGCTTCAAAGTAATGAAGCACATATAAGTCTCAATACAGAACTTCCTTCGCTTAAAATAGGGAAAACAGAAATAACTTAAGGAGAAGAGAAAGGTGGAGAAATCGGTATAAACGCTAGGATAAAGGCGGAGAAATCGCTATAATATATAATCAGGCTAGCCGATGCATCTGCATCTCTTCAGGTCATGATTATCGTGCTGATGGCACCTGTTATGACGGTCCTGTTGATATTCGTCCTCATAATCCCAACCGGTATGTCGTAGTAATATGTCGTAGTGATAATCATTACATCAAATTGGATAATTAGTAAGGGTTACCTAAAAAGGCCGAAGCAAATTAGTAATGTAGATGCCATAGACTGGGAATTAAACTTATTGGGGATCTGCATAGGAAAAACTGTCAGTGACTCTAACAGCCACCCTAACCTTATCAAACTTCACTATCTTTAAGAAAACTTTAGTTTTCCCGCCTTCCTATTAGGCGAAGGAAACAAATGAATCCCAGGATTCCTTTCTAGCCCGTGTAGACTTTTCGACTAGCAAGTATTGTTACGGTTGTTTGTGTATATAATATATAACTAGTGAGCGAGTCAGAATGACTTATTTCTCTTTATAGTCTACCAATAGAAGATTAACCAATCAGAAGCCGCAGAACACTGTATCCGTCGTGTATAAAGGCGGCCATCTTGTTTCCTCCTACCGGAAGGACCAAAGGCGACCAGGAGAAGGATGAACTACACTCTGCTGTGATATCCACTGTGAACCTGCACTACGCTTTCCTACTGTCTCCGAAATATTCACTGCCAACCTCTGGATTCTATACTCGAAGACGACCGTCATAAATGTCTAACAAGTATGCAGGGCAATAAGAGCCTATATTAAGGAAAACAGATATAACTTCATGCAAAATACCCTAGTTGTTAGAACCATTAGCTCTACATAAATCAGTGGATAAGTTATCGATGGTAACCAGAAATGACCCAACAGAGGGGTACCCAATAGT